ATCCGCCTCCTCTTCCAAAACAAAAAAACCTTATTGTCGTGCCTTGGAAACTGAGAAACGAACGGAGATCATTCCTACAACGGTAACATTCAGGAAGCATATATCATGTGAATTTAACGGCGTTTTCGATCACGACGTTGTTCTTACTTGACTGTATTGTTTGACGTAACATCTCATAATGCATGCGAACAGTTTGAACTTGTATCGACTGTTAGCTGTTACCTACTTTTTGTCGATTACGTATTGTTTTGTTACGTCGCAATCCGTGCGGTTAATTCTTGTTAACTATGTGCTGATCGTATTCTGATTAAGGCTTTTTTATGGTTCTGTCGGATTGTCGTATATTTGTGATTTATATTTTATATTCTTCGTGTTTTGTTGTTAGTCTTGCACGTTTACATCATCAATTACTTAAAATGACACGTGGAAGTGTGGAGTCTCCCAGCACAAGCAATACATTGCTTAAAAGGCCATCTTCAATAATTTTATCTAATGCCTGTTGTAATTGGAATAAACTTCTTTTGCATTCATTCACATTTTAAGTGTGTATGTGTGTGGATGTATCTATTGGTTATCACTATCACTACATAGTATAAATCAAAGTCGCTATCCGCCGTCTGTCTGTCCCTGTGTATGCTTAGATCTTTAAAACTACGCAACGGATTTTGATGCGGTTTTTTAATAGATAGAGTGATTCTTAAAGGAAGGTTTATTTGTATAATACATGCATATTGCACCCATGCGAAGCCGGGGCGGGTCGCTAGTAATTAATACTTTTACATCCCCGAAACTGGAAAGTTTTGATGAAGATTTATTTCGGTCTTATTTCATATTATCTGACTGAATTATTAGACGCATTTGAAAATCTAGATCTATCTAAATACAAATGCAGTTGTAGCATAAATCAATATTGACATCTAACCATTTTTAGTTATAAAAAGATGGTCCGTTATTAACATGTACAAAAAAGTCTGAAGACGCGTGAAATTTATTCTGCGAATGAAACGAAACGAGTTCTTTAAATATTTGATTTCTCTTGTCAATGTTTGGATTAATTCCGTCCAATTAACATGTATATTGGTCTAGAATCTGAATGTTTACCATCACGCCGCGCGCGTGAGTTTGCTTTCTGTTTTGGAGTTTGATAACCTTCAATAGCATCGTAAAATTGTCTGTCGTTTCCTGATGAGCTTTATTATATACATCGTTGGTCTATCTCCTTTGATGAAAAAAAGACTACTAGAATTATTATTGCATTACTCTTCTATAAGTTTTTCATCAACAAGAATTTGAACTAAAGTTTTTATTTTGAGGTGAGCATTATAATCGTCAAGTCCTGGTATCCACGGACCTACTGTATCATGTGAGTGATTTCATTTTATTTAGAAACTATAGATTAAGTCTCTAATAATGTTAGTGTGTCCATGACACGCTACAAGCATGTTCATTCATTAAAACAACAACGTACATCATTAAATTCCCAATCAATACTATTATTATTATTTTATTATCTTCATGCATTATTTTGTTACCTGTGTTATAAAGTAAAATAATAGACTAGCCTCCTACCACATAACCTTGACCCCTGTGTGCGCGGGCGCCACTCGGGCGTGCTTTGAGCAACGTTCACACAAGCAGTGGAGTAAATTTGTTGTTAATTAACAGATTATTATCGCCCCCTTGCTCACCAATTAGTCCTTTGTTTTTGGGAAACTTTTACAAGTACTATTGGTGAAGAAATATCGATAATGTGGTTACATCACTACAGAACCTTTGGCTATTGGTGTTGTGTTGGTTACTTCATAATTCATGCTATGAATCCATAAGGTTCACAACCACTCGACCGAGATAGTCAAATTTTGGGCGTACTTGTTTATTCAGATACTATTTTGAAATGTTTACACTAACAAACTTATCGACATCACTAATATTACAAAATTCTGCCGCTACGTCTGTCTTTATGAACGCGTTGAACTCCATAAATGCCTAACAGATTTCCAAACGATTTTCAATCGATGTACAAAGTAACCATGGAGAAGACTTATATGGATAATATTGATTAAAAATACTAAAGTCAAGTTTAAAGTTAAACTGAATATCAGGAACACATTGCAGAGCTAAAGGTCCTATTGTTCTAAAACCACAAAACAATACAATGCAAGGTCTAACGGAAATGGCCTAACAAATAGAGAAACAGCTATAAAAGTAGATATTAATCTATGAAGATGGACCTCGAACACCGCATTTGTAATTAGAAATATTCTCATGTCAGTCTCTTTGCATCTACTTGTATATACAAATACGCTTTAAGCTATACAAATCCAGTTTATCCTGGTCTCCCTTTATATGATCATTCTGTACATTCAACGGTCAGTTTATACTAGTTTTGAGTAGCTCGATGTGAAGTCGTGTATACTTAGCAAAGGGTCTGATTACATAATCATTAAATATGTAGTTACAATGACCTTCGTGATGATAGATGATTCATTACTATTATTTTGATTCAATTAATTATCTTAGTACCTTGACATAAAGACGCCCATCTTCTTTCTATTTCAGAAGGTTAGGCAGAAGTGTGTTCACAGTTGACGCTCAGTTTTTGCTAGCGATCAATTTGTTACTTGTGGATACCATTGCTGCTCCTAGTTCGAGGTCTATGCTTGCCTAAATGTGGTCTCCACTTTAGAACATGTCTACTCTAACCATGAAGGGTTCTTAAACAAATGTGATCGGTTCACTGCCATTTTGACTTGAAAGTTCTTCTCGTCTTATTAACGTGCGAATTTTAGAAGTCAATTTGAACCCAAATGCACAGGTTATTGGTACCATTATAGCTTTATTTAAATGTATCAGGCTTATCTGCTATCGCGAACCATATAAAGTTTTGTATACTTTTAAAGATATCAAGTTCACAAGTTGCCTGGCTATCACTGAATAAGTTTAGTTCTTAGAATCCTAATGGCAGTCCAAACATCAAAATTCATTGAAATGCCCTTTTTGTTGCACTGTCTATCACCTTATCGGGCAGTGTTTGTATTTGACACCATCTAATGTTTATTTTTCTAATACATTTATCTTTTATATTTTAAAAGTTTTAATGGGGGGTTTCACTTCCGTGTGCACCTCTGCCTACCCTTTCGGGGATTAAAGGCGTGATGTTATGTTATGTTATGTAAGTTTTAATATAAAACTTAAATTTTTGTCATAAAGTGTATTTCTAGTTTTTGAGCAACAAGTATTTCTGTCGCTGTTTAGTAATTAATTAATAGGACTATTGAGACACTAAATACTCTTTCAAAACGCTCTATATAGAAGTCCTTAGATGAGAGTGCGTTGAAGCACGTATTAATAACTCGTGTATTAAACTATTAAGTAATACGTGCCAGCGACTGTAAAGAAAAGAAAGTAAACTCCATATTCATTTAAATATTCCGTACCATGTGCATACAAGGTTAATTTCATCTCCCAACTTATCTTTTGTTGCAGCTTTATATTCTATTATTATACCTCTAGGAGTTAAAGAATTCCGCAGGAACCTGTCGCACCTATCGCAGTCCATGGTTCCCATGGTTATGAGCCAAGAATCCAGTTGTGGTGCCGGCGGCCTGATCTCCATACTCTTTAATTACAGTTGTTACGCTACACTGCGACATGCAAGGATCCTGACTTAAGCGAGAAACAGTAGCGATTTGAAATAAGTCATCATTATTGTAAGTGGATGCAATTTTGCTAATGAATGTCACGTTTTGAAGTAATTCTTTCTTTCTTCGAAGCTATTTTCGTCAGTCTTCACTTTCTATGCATATGTTAAATTGTTATGTATTAGTCGCGACTCCATTTCTCTCCGTCTCTGCTTATTGATGGTTGGTGATTTTTCAAGTTATTAAAAACATTTATTTCTTGTATTATAAAATTAATGCCATAAGAAATCAGAAAATTTCAAAAGTTCCCGTGACCTCTTCTAAATTGATCCAAATCGCAACTCCTGATTGCCTCGATCCGAATTCAGGTTTTAGTTTTAGGACTAACAGTTTCAATACTAATTTGAAACCTGTTCGTGTTACGATCACGAGCACTGTCAACTTTGTTCATTAGACCACAGATATTATTGAAACTATTAAACAGTGCAACATGCAAATGCGACGAACCTGCAACGATTACAGTTTAACGACTTCGGTTGCGATTGCTACAGGTCTACTTTTAAACATCATTGAATTATTTTAGTTTCATACTTTTAGTTTTTATTACTTTACACTACCTCTACATTATTCTACTTCAAATCATCGGTTTGTTGTTAATTTATTATTATTGTATTATGGTTAATTTTACAAGCTGGGTTTATTTTATAGAATCCGATTCAACCAAAATCTGTCCATCAACAGTTACAAGAATAAATCCATCACTAAGTAAGTTAAAGTCCTCGCTTCAAAGTGTAACGTCGCCTACAAACTTCTGTTCGTCTTAATTTATATAAACATTGCATTAAATCAAGATCTAAAGATCACATTCCGTTGCCGCTTAAGGAATGCATCGTCCTCCCTCGGTCATTTGAACGGTCACTATCCGCATTTGGTTCAAAGAATTCAGGTTCATTTTCTTAATTTATATTTTATACCGTTAAAAATACAATGCAATCGTATTTCCATTTCCGTTCAATGTTATTATCATTTGATTCGAAACTATCATTATCAAACCCGAAATTGGTATCCATTAATTTGGTTATCTTCTAGTATCGACGTCAAGAGCCTCGCATTGATGGATCATATCAGGCCGATTAAATGTTTGCTTCGTAATCGTTGCGTACGTTCACGAATGTCATATCTTGAGAGCCTTGTCCGGTTAACTTGTCCATGTATGTAACTTGCAAGTTTATTTGCAACTTAACAAGCCTTCCCATTTTAAAACAGCCGAAGTATAGAGGTTGTTGTATTGCGCGGTGTGCGGTTTCGATTCGGTCGGGTAAAAGTTTGAAGTCCATTCGGTTCGGTTAGATGCGTCGCGTGGTTGCGCACGACGGCGCCTCAGTTTGCTCGCGCTGCCCGCGCAGCTCACTCGTGTGTTCAAATTCTCGCTGTTACTCACGTGAACCGACTTTCCGATACGAATTTGGAACGTTTCCGACCGGTAAAGTCGGTTTAACTGTCGCTTTTAGGCGAACAATTTTGCGACCGCCTAAATTTCGCATTGCGATTGGCAGTGCGATTGCTTCACTCTGTTACGCTACCGTCTTAACCTTCAAGCGGGCGCGCGTAGTCGAATCGACCGCGGTTAATACATTTTCGTTCGTATTTTTATTTTTAGTTGCCACATGCATTTCTAATTTCTAGTAGCCTGTCACTATCTTTTTAGGAGTAAAATAAAAACTGTTCCGTTGCTTGAAGCGCTCTCTCCACTCCACAAATTACAATTGTTTAGGCTCTGGCGCAGTCGTTGAAAAGACTACACGCGCCTGTCGTCGAATAGGTTACACGCGACGCTCAACGCGACATACACATGTCAATATTATCTAATTCAGCTTGGAGTTTTGGTGTTTTAAAGCGTTTTTTGTTTAAATAAGTAAGTCGTTTATGGTTATCGCAAAGTGCAGTAATCGAGGAATTACAAAGAGAAGACGAAGAAGAGAGTGAATCAGAGCTTAGCAACCAAGGCTCTGAAACTTCTCATCACATAGTTTTAGAAGAACATCTATCTGATGTGATATCATCCTTGTCGGATTTAGATGAGAATAATTTGTAGCTTACGGAAATAAATAGCTGTTTTACAGGACGCGATAAAGTTACTAAGTAGCAAAATCTGAAAAATTACTAGAATACTGACTCAGACGAAAATAAAATCAAAATTAATGAGTTTTTATCCTTACTTTTTATTTATTTTATGGTCTACGTATATAAACCAACCTAACATATGTAAACGGGTCTTAATTTTTATTTTGATCCGAAGAATATTTGAGATACTTTAGGTGACTTAATAATTGCTTCTTTTTCATAATTTTAATTACTTGTTCTGACAAATTTCTCTTTAAAGATAATGATATTGTATCTTAGTACAAATTAATAAATGATTATCCCATAGTTATTGCTTTCTTGGTCTTATTCATCCCATAGGTCTATTCGGTTACGCGCGCCCGCTCCCGTTACAAAAGACCGCGCGCCCGCTTGAAGGTTAACAGATAACTGTGAAGAAACGTGTGCAAGCTGTGTGTGTTGCGGAGTCGGCAGAAGTCGGCAGATTGTGCTTTATCAGTGCTGTGGAATGGATGTGTTTTGTGGAAAGTGCTAATTTTGTTTGGTTCGAGACTTACGATACGTTTCACTGAACGTGATACAAAAAGTGGTTTTGTTATCGAGTTCATGTGACTACCGGAGTATTGATACGCTGTGCTTTCCCCCTGTCCAGAGCTTGATTTATGGTAAGTCATTTGGTTCACTTGCTTTGGTGTTAGGATTAATAGTGGACATTGTTGACAGATATCATTCAATCGTTAGTTTGGCCCTATTTTCCTAACTTCCACTTAGTGAAGTTACATAGAAGATTTATACATTATGCATGTTATAGAAACCGGTCCAGAACCGAAGGCTAGAACACGTGAGGATAAAAATGTGATTAATTCAATGACAATTCGTGTAGACTTCCGTAAAAGGCTAGGCAAGGCGGTGCACGTTGAATGGTGTAGTTGTACTCGATAAGTCGATACTACTGAACGGAAACTTAACATTTCGACTGTGACATTGAAGCCGCGAAGAAGAAAGCGACATTAATAAGTTTATTACCGAACTAGCACGCATATTCATCACGCCGAAACACTTACACCGTGGAAGCTTAGCAAAGATTTGATATTAATTAATACGAGAATGATTCGACAATTTGAAACTTCGATAGTGGGTCATTCTGTTTATTAATTGCGAATCAGTGCGAACGAATGGGACCCGGCATTGTGCGCGAAATAAACTGGAACTTGAGAAATCCGTTCACTTTTAATGTTACACTGATAATATTGTTCTCACAAAGAAATTACAGTGTCGATGTAGACAGTAGATTGATCAATTTCTAAGTCAAATTAACGGCCCGAAGTCTACTATTACTATTAAAACTAGTAAAATGCTAGTTGAACGTAAAACTGTAGAAATTCTTGATTAAATTGGTATTTCACAAGTAAAAGATAGTGTTAGAGATATGATTGTTGATAAAAATCACTAATCAAAACATGAAGAAGATTTGATTAATGAAGAAGCGAACAGCATTGTTATTAATGCAGAAACAGAAAGTATTACAAGTCAATCTAAAGGTAAAAGAGCATTTGCAAATGTTCGACTAGTATTAGACGAACCGTTAAATTCCTAGAAAGTTTAGATAACATTGTACGTTCATCTACGAAATACAACATTCCTAATGCTAACATTGATCTAATAACAGTCATATTGTGACACATGTAGTTGCAGACGGTCTATATTTAGATAAACAAAATGAATTTTAGACATGAAGTAAAGGAATAATAAAGTTAAGGTCGATAGATAGTTCCTAAAGAAATTCTGCATAGTACTGCAAGACACGTATTATCTGATTGTAGGCCAACATCTGAAGGAGGCAATAACCTCAATGATTGTGATCATAGTAAACGTAGAAGATAACATTTGACTAATACAAGTAGCAAAATAAACAGTGCCTACGAATTTCATAGTACAATATTCTAGTCTATTGGAACATGCTACAATAAATTAATGATAATTTTGAAATTGTTTACTGAGGATTTACTGATGCAACTTTAGAAGGAAACATTGCAGTAAGTGGATACATTTGGGAATTTTTCCTGCGCTTTAAATACATAAACAAATGCTGTTCCATTTTTCCTGTTTGTGTATATTAACTTAACAGGTAAATTAACTGACTTAGTAACTAGGAAAACTCACAATTCATTGCCTTCGATTACAATTTTAAAGTTTTGAATAATATCTTCATCACCAGCAGTACTATTATTAGTGAAATAGCCAACTTTGAGATACAATGCTTTAAAATCATTAGATCAAATAGCCTTTTGTTTTCGCTAATCAGAGTGTAAAGCTAGAATGATTAGTTGTATCCTAGACTTAGAGAGTTTGACCTAGGCACAGATAGAATGCGAAGTCCTAGACTAGCACTGTGACCTCACCGTCACGATCACAACAAATATTGCAGTCGTGATGCCTGTATGTATGTTTAATTAAAGCTATTCGTTTTTGTTCGGTTTTTGTGTCCTAATGTAACGGGTTAGCTTGTTTACGATAATTGTTGATGTGTGTTCCATAAATTCACGTGTCGTTTGCAAAAAATCTTGATATTGTTAAAGTTTGTGGTCACAAATTAAGATGATGAGTTTAACATAGGAATAAAGAGAATATTATGTTATTTTTGTTTTTTGTGCCTACATAAAAATACCTATACTTACCTACGAGTAAATACGAGCCTATTCTTTGAAAATTAGGGTAATAAAATTAGTACCTATGTTGTGAAATTGGGACATAAGAAATGATGTTAAAAGAAAATGACGCTAATAATAACTTCTATCAACGGGTGGGTTCCTTTCCCTTCATCGTACTTAAAACGAAAGAGTATAAAATAGGTAATTACCTACTGTGAAATTACAGTTTAGTTATTTCGTAATTTAGTTTAGAACATTGAGCTGTGGTGTATGCCCCCTGCAGTTTGCTGCACCGGACCGAACCGAAGCTCCCGGGTGGTAATGGGACGGTCAAATTGCATTCTACGTTTGGTAGACAACTGATCTTTGAATACCATTTCCCTTTGAATGAAATATTAAATCACATTATTGTAATAGAATTATAATGTTGAAATTGAATACTGTATTTTAACGATGTATTGCAAAAGTCTGTTAAAGACATTCTGCTATAACAAAGCTAATGATACTTCTTGATTGCTTGGCAACAGATAATATCTTTACAAACATCTTTTCAGAATTTTATTACCCATTTCAAGCTATTCTATTAAGCTTAAAAACAAAGTTTCAAACTGTAATTCACCATCTATTCTCATGGGAACTTTTGAACGAAAAAAAAAACCATTTTTGTTTTCAATGAATCTTTTCTAATGGTTTTTATTACGCACTATTCCTTCCATAATGGTGTTAGTCACGATAGCTTTTTTATTTCTATCGATGGATCGATGCAAATTGCTGTGTCCTTGATACTGATCGGTCATCAATCCTTTTGTTCCTTAGTTATTCGTTGGTAACATGCATTGCATGTCGTAATTATTGTTTTGAAAGTGACAATGTCCCCTGACCAATTGTGTCTGCTAATCCAGTTTAATTTATGATCATTTGTTCTACTGTTTAGTCTGCTGTATTTAATCATTTCGTATTTAATATTGCTATCAAATTCTTGCTTCATATCCCGATTGTTGTGGTCCTTACTAAATTTTACTTTCCTATTCTTGAAATGAAATTTTTGACAACTGTCATTTTATTTGTATGAAACGGTGTTTGAAAGTATTCTAATCAATATTACCGATAGAAATAAAACAAATGAAGTTACCATTTTAACCGTGCATTTTGTGTTCACTTGAAATATCAATTCAATATGGCGTGCCCTTTGTTTTTCTCATGTTGGTAATATTAAGTTACGGAGAAAGTGTAGCCTTATACAAATGTCTTTACGGTAAATTATTTGTTATTGTTATAGGGACGGTATCTATGAGTGAAAATGTTAGATTAATGATGGTTTTCACTTACACGGCGACTTGCTTGTATAACGTCAGTGACCATTTATTGAAATAGTCAACAGAAACATCTTCAATAGATTTATTTTGTTGTTATTTACAGAAGTTCATAACACAATTTCCATTCACGACTTTGCTGATTATATTATTTACGTACATCTTCTTCAAAAATCGCTCTTGTCTTCTAATGGAAACTGCATAAAAATGTCCCGTTTTGCAGTTAATCGGTGACACAGACTTTGTTTTCTAACATGTTAAGACTTTGAAGTAGGCTCTTGGAAATTGAATTTACAAACTGCATTGCATGCGTAGGAGGTTAGCTACCGGCCTGTCACTTCGACTACAATATAGTTCTCAAATGCTCGTGTCACAGTACTCACACTCATAAGGGGGTGCACACATTGGCGACTACGCCTTTGTCCAATCGATCCGTGTGTGTTTGCTTTTAACAACACTAAGGGGGGTCTCCACTAAACGCATTCAGAGCGAAAATGAATGCACAGCGGGTGTAAATTTTGCGTGAGATTTGCAGCTCTATTTTATTGAATGTATGAATGTTTTAGTCATCTAACCTTTGTTAAGGGATGGCATAATGGGAAATGTGAATTAAATTTTTGGGATACGTAAGGTTATCAATTTTATTCGTATGTTTTATATGTTAACGGTTATTCACTGTGGTTTTATACTTCTGTGCCAGAATCTACGTTAACCATGAACAGTCTGGCAGTAAAAGTCTCTTCGTATCTTTCATAAAGTTGGTTTCATGTGTTTATGACAAGAAGACAGAATATACTCCTTGTTCTGCTTTCTGATGACAATCTTTTTGCGTTTCTGGTGCATCTATGTAGACTGGGCACTAAAGTGTACACACTATAATAACATTTAAAGACCTTTGTGTTTCATTAAGTCGCTCCATGTTTTACTTTGCACCTAAAAAGGAAAGAGGCGTGGGTGATGTAATAGGTATTATTACGCGGTTCCACCTTGAAGGGTTAACTAAATACCAAGATAGTACGAGGTGTTAGGTAATAATGCTAATATTATTATACTAAATGACATGGCTTGATGGGTATCTGTAGTAGGTAATGCGGAAGATTGCAAAATAGGTAATAAGACTGTCAAAGAAGATGTTACAGTACTAGAAGCTGTGGATGCTAACTTTGATCACGATGTAGAACTGTCAAAATAAAGAAGTATTTCCTAAATAAGAGTAGTGCCGGTTTTCATAGATCTCACAGTTTGCATGTTCACGAATTGTCTTAGAGAAGTATCCATTAATTGCACCGCGAAAAAAGGCAATTACATTAATGATCTTGAAATTAGTAAACATGAGAATGTAATTGTTTTGTTTTACACGCTTTCGACAACACGCATGTAAACAGTATGAGATTGGGCGATAGAAGTAGCTGTTTACTCAAAAGCAAACTTGGACATTCAGAGAGAGAACCAAATGTAGATTTCGTAGGAAAATAACATCAATTATGGTTGTTGTTCAATGTATTTGTATTAGAATTTGCTTTCAAATATTAAAATTTTACTTATTCAAACAGATTGACACCAAATGAACTTACAGTGAATAAAATATGGTCGAATACTTCATAGGCACCAAATTTGCTTTAATTTTCCTTTCATCCGATCTCATACCAGAAGCAGAAAATAACGTATCCCCAGCTATTTAAAATCAATAAGAGGATATAA